TCATATCAATTGAAAGATTATGTCACATAGTATGACATAATGTAACTATTAGATAGTAAGTGATTTTTCAGGTGAAAAGTTATATCTCTTGGTAAAGTAATATATTAGATAAACACCTTTAATACAAATATTATGAGACAATTGAAAAAAACCATTACTCAAAAGTTTGGATATAAAAATTTATTTTTAGTATTATAGTCCTTTTATAAGGTATTTATTGAAACAATACTTTTATTTAAAGGTTGTGTCTTGCAACTTGCAGAACTGTCTTTAAGACATAAAGTAGTCTCAATGAAAGGGTTGTGGAAATCTATATAAAAGATTTGTTGTCAATCATTTTGACACACCAAAACAAACAAGACAAGAGCATATAATTAAGAACAAGAGAAATGTTATGTTCTGAATAAAGTTCAGAAAATAAATATAAATACTTTGAGTTCTCAGCATCTAACAAAAGAGTCCAAATCCTTATAATCTACTTGTTACAGAAAGTAGATTTGTCAAACAACTTTGTAACTCTCTAATGTGTCTAGTGGTCTACTATGATAAAGTGCAAGACAAAGTTAGATATTAGTTTCATCGTATTCCTTATGCTATTCATATAATTCCCTTTTACATACCAAATAATGAGATAAAATAAGTCTTAAAAGATAATATTTATTAAAAACATGCCTTGAAATCAATTTTACTGATTTTATTTGAATTCCAACTAAACTCCATTTGCACTAACAATCTCAACATAAAAACATAAAACTGTAATAATGGAATCAATCACATAGATATGAGGAAGGAGAGAGTAGATAAAGAGTGAAGAGAGTTTGTTGCAAGAGGAAGCAGACAACATTGAGAGAGGAGGCTTAAACTGCGCCAACGGAGGAACATGTGGGAAAGACGACAGAGGTGAGCAGGTTTGTAGGACATTTTACCTATCAATGGTTGTTTTTTTGTTAATCTGAAAAATATTTTATAGGGAGAAGATATTGTTTTGCCTTCCAAACAATCAAGACATGAAAATTTTTTCTGAAAAATAATTTCCTTGCGACTGAAGGGAACCTTAATACCAGTGACATAACTTTTATTACACCCAAAATTGTTCATTTAATCAACAAACTTTCCCATCTTCTACTAACTAGTTTATCTCATACTGTACAGTTTTCTCATCATCATAATCATTCACATATTTACAATTTTTATTAGATTTTGAGTCGAGTTTTGACTCTCTTTATGACTTTGTTCAAATTCACCATAATCTTAGATCAAATAACAATTATTTTTCGATTCCAACTTCAACACACAAATAGAAGTAGGCTGAGTTCAGGTAGTGCAATCGAACGATGCTCACTTTGGCTCCGCCCTGTTTCACACCCCTAGGACTCCATCCCTCAAGCCAGCCCTTGCCCTGGCTGTCTTATAGCTAGAAAGGCAAATGTGGTTGGGTTCCTTGCCTCCAACCTAAATTACAAAAGCTTGTTTTGTTGGTGTCCTCCCCTTGGTGAGGCTGCAGTTTTCTGAGTCAAAAAGAAGCCGCCTCGGGGGCAGGTAAAATATGGACTTTGAATCTCACCTGAGTATGTGAGCGGTGTGTTTGAAATGGATGAATAAAATCATTCAACAATTGTTAAAACAGCTTGGTCAACTAAAATATATTTCATTAACATCAACAGCTGAATGAATGATCTGTCCAAGGGTACTAGTGAGTTGCCAGGCATTATAGATACTTAGAGAAGATACTAATAATACTTTTTCAGAAACGTATGACAGAAGTGGTGAAGGGCTTTTTAAATTTGAAGCAGGTCTGGACTTTCCCAAAACCCTTTCCCATATCTAAGACCCACAGTATAAATGGTCTAATCTTTCTCAAGGTACCATCTTGATTCTTGATTATTCAATATAGTCACTAGGCGGTATGATTGCAGTCAATTGTACTTGCATAAAGTTGATCCCATCACAGCTCATGGTGTCCAGTTCAGAAGGGCCACAGCTTGAGATACTGCCGTTCTAGCCATCGTCCAAAGATGAAAGCTTCCTTTTAAGGATCTCATTCTCCTTTCTTAGTTTCATAATCTTCAGCTTAAGTGTTTCAACTTGCCGACTTGAAGCTGAATCTTGTTGCTGTTCCACAAGCTTCGTTCTGCTGATCAACACTGCATTGCACTCATTATAACAGTGGTATTTCACAAAAGGAGATCAGAGATTCATAGAAATGCAAAAACATCCTTTGAATCTTATGCTCTGAAGCTGAGTCCAGCTACCTCAAAGTCAAATAAGACTGATTAAGAAGCCCTCATCATAGTGCTGGGCAAGGATTTTGAGTAATTAGAAGATGAATATGCATCAAACATACAGTTAGAAATGGCAAGTTTGGTCAAAACCTGGTGATAGAGGCTTTAATGATCAGAAAATTGACATTTTTGGTTCAGATTCTACTTACATAAAAGGAATCTGTGTTTAAATTGCAAATAATTTTATATGTTCAAACAAGCATAACAAGTGATATAATGTCGAAAGGCAATCACGAACTCACATTCCTTTTCCATGCCCTGGAGTTTCTTATTCAAATCATTTTTCTCTTCTTGTTCAATCAGCAGACAATCTTTTAAGTCCAGAATCTCCAGAAGATCTGCCAATGTATATTTAGCATCTATAACAATTATGCAACAAAATCTGATTGAAAAGTTCGTGAATAGTAACCTCACATTTTGATTCCTCATCAGAATGTAGTTGATCCAACCTCGTTGATAATACTTGTGCATGGCCTTTATGTATGGCCAAATCTTTACGCAGGTGATTTGTGGTTGCTTCATTGGTTGCTTTTTCAAGTAGAAGATCTCTGATAGAAGGTAAATTTCATTTTCAACCACAAAAGCAGAATATATTTGAGCAACTTACTCACTGGAAATTTACCTGACTTTAGCCTCCAGATCCCCAATTTTTTTTGCATAGTCTTGCTTAAGCAATTCCATAGCCTTCTTATATTCCTGCTCAGAGATTTCAACTTCTCACTGTGATGCACTTTCATCTAAAAAATTGTCTTTAGCCCCAACAAGATGATGTTAGTTCACTAAAAGACATTTGTGGAGGCATTTTTCAGGATTTCAATCATACATATTTATTGGGATGCATACGTGACCTAAAAGACCTCGCACAGTTGGACTATATAAATTAACTGGCTGACTAGAGCAATGAAGAGTTCAGCATCAAAGATACTTACCTCTTCTTTAGCGTGATATTCATCATTCCTTCTCAAGAGTTCTTCTTTCAATCTCTGGCATTTGGCATGGTTTTCAAGCTGGATTAAGAAATAAAAGTTTGCTAAATTTAATTCTCAACTCAACTGAACCATACTATTGGTCCTAACTTCTTATTATGACAAAATTCTGCACTAAATTTAACGAGATAAACTGAAAGGTGCATAGGACAAGGAAATGAAAGGATAGTGCACCTGCTCAGCCAGATTGTGTAAAGATTCTGTGTACAGTTTTGTCAGTCGCACATTATCTACAATGTGGGGAAATTAAAAAAATGAAAGTTCAATTAAGTTTAGACATAAAAAATTTCAACATGCAGCTCTAGAAAAATTGGTAATATCAAACTTAATAGGAATTAGAAGAGGGAAAAGAACTTAGGGTCCTTCAGTTCAATGTAATGTGAAAAGTAATGTAACCAATACCAGTCAATGCATGCAAACTCGCTGGACAAAATCTAGGAAGGACCAATATTGAATAGATTTATGGTGCTAATGATGGCACTAAACAAATGTGTAGGAATGCTCTAATTTAGGAAGAAACAAGGAGGCACAGCGGAGGAGATTGAATCCTAATATTTAACATGGCAATAAGAGGTTCTAAACGAGATCCCTCATCCTACATAACCCATACTCAAGTAGGATTACATGTGTAAACGCTGTACATTCTTCTTGCAACTGTTTTACCGCGATTGGTAACAGGAGAAGAGGAAGGAAGGAAAGAGTGGAATGAGGAAGAAAAATGAGTGGATTCATACCTTTCTCTTCCTTTCAAATCTACTCTTTAGTGGGACTAAACACTCAATCAACTTAAATTAACCATTTTATTTATAATTTTTTCCCCACAATCTCTTCCTTTCCCTCCCATTTCTCATCGTTGATCCCAAACACAAAGAAGGAACATTAACTTTAATTTCTCTCATTCCCTCTTTCTATCTTCAGCTTTATCACTCCTCTCGATTATCCTTCCTTTCTACCAAACTGTGTATAGCGATAGTGTGGTGGTCTCAGGAGACCAAAGGGTGTCCTCCAAACGTTTAACAGTAACTAAAAGCAGAAGAAATGAAAAGCTTATATCAGATTATGATCGTTGAATAAATCAAAAGGATTAAGGAAGCACCCTGTTTGAGAGAATGACAAGTGATTTCAAGAGCTTCTCTTCTCTTTATTTCTGCATTCCAGTTAGATTTCAGAAACTGAATCTCTCGGATTCCCCTCTTGAAATCCTGAATAACCCAAAAAACAATATCAACAAAACGAAGAACTGAGGAGGAACACATTTGGTAATGGCTGGAACTCTGTTTGGGAATCGGAAAAGTGTTCACGTAATCAAACCGCCGCATTTTCAAATGGAGTAGTGATTCCAACCTTAATCAGCAACCAAAGCAGAGAGGAAAAGCGCAGCTAAGAAATGAAAAACTACAAATAGAGAAAGAGAGTGAGTTTACATTGTAAATTTGATCGAAACCAGAGAGAAGCGAATCGGTGTACGCGTCGCTAGTTGCCGCCATTTTTTCAATGGTATCTGAATCCTCCCGTCACTGTTTCCCTCTCTCCCTCTCTCCTTATATCTTTTATAATTATGGACTTAATTTTTTTATTTAAATTTTTCTAATTTGACCTTGCTCGGTTTTTTTCAATATATATATA